GGCGGAGCCGGTGCCGGTGGCTTTTCCTGCTCTGTCGGGACGTGCCAGGTAAGAACTTGGAGCTTTTTGATATTTCCTCTTCAAATTCCTGAAATCACAGAAATTTGCACAGTCGTTTTGGTTTCAAATGGCTTCAAATTGCCCAAATCGAGTGAAATTCACCTTAAAAACAAAATAAATTGATTTTTGGAAAATCCACACGTTTTTCCAGCTCACATTTTCTCTTGTTTCAGCCCCAAAAAAGCATCAAAATTTAATTTATTTCTCGATTAAATAAATTTATTTCTCTATCAAATGAATTTAATTTCTTTCTCGATTAAATAAATGTGATTTATTTCTCTATTTTTAATCAAAATGCTCAGATTTGTGCCCAGTTTTGCCCCAGGGGCTGATCCCCGTCGGGAGGATCCTCGTGCTCCAGATTGGGGCAAAAATGGGGTGAGGAAAGGGTTAAAAATTAAACCCTCTCCCCCACTGCTGAAATGGGGTTTTTCTGCAAAAAGAAAATAAGAAAAATGAGAGGAAAAAAGGAGAAAAAGGAAAATGAGAAAAAGATCAAAAGAAGGATAAAAAATAAAAAGGATAAAAAATAAAACAAATTAAGAAGGATAAAAAATAAAACGAATAAAAATTAAAAAGAAGAAAAATAAAAATGAAAAAATAATTAAAAGAGGAAAATAAAAATAATCAAAATTGAAATAATAAAGAAAAAGAAAAAACCCCAATAAAAATAAAAAAGAAAAAATAATAAAAAGATAAAAATAAGAATAAAAAAGAAAAATTATAAAAAAGAATAAAAATGAAAGTGAAAAAATAATTAAAAGAGGAAAATAAAAAGAATAAAAATTAAAATAATAAAAATGAAAAGAAAAAACCCCCAATAAAAATGAAAATGAAAAAACAATAAAAAGATAAAAATAAAAAAGAAAAATGATTGGAAAATAAAAAGAATAAAAATTAAAATAATAAAAATGAAAAGAAAAAACCCCCAATAAAAATGAAAATGAAAAAACAATAAAGAGGAAAAGAAAAAGAATAAAAATTGAAATAATAAAAAGAAAAAGAAAAAAACCCAATAGAAATAAAAATGAAAGAATAATAAAAAGATAAAAATAAGAATAAAAATTAAAAATGATTAAAAAATACAAATGAAAAATAAGAAAAAGATAAAAAAAATAAAAAAAATGG